TTACAACAGAGTCTATGAACCAAACCCAAAACGCGGAACAAATAAAATAACTATTTTAATATAAAAATGGGGTTATATGGGAAGGGGGTGAATATTAATAATTTTTGGTAGAGAGATTTGTTACCATATACGACTACAAAATACCAAATTTCAGTGAATTCGATTGAAAAACGTACTCAAGAACCTCAAAATACCGAAATTTTGGTGTACTCTTATATGGGGGCTACCACAAAAAATTGACTTATATTTATAATTTTTAGTGGAGATATTTGGTACCAAATAAGAACCCAATGTATGCAATTTCACCGAAATCGGTTGAAAAACACGCTCAAGAACCCCAAAATACCGAAATTTTGATAACAAAATCAAGAGGTCAGAGGTGAAAATTATTGAAATGTCCACGTTCAAACCATAGGCTTGTAAAAAAACTCCATGAACAAAATTTGACTAGAAACTATTTTAATACTCACTTTAAATTATTTGTTCCATACGGCGTATACGTTGTGTCGTTACTAATACGCACATTGGCACAACAAAATATTTATTGGAGTGGTGTAATTAGTCCAAGAAGATGTTTTCAATGACCATCTGACGCGTGGATTTTTTAAGGATTTTTTTTCAATGATTTTTTACAAAATATTTTTTCAATAAACTTCACCACCCTGTGGTACAGGGTATTATGTCTATGTGCATATGTTTGTAACAGGCAACAAAATACCGAAATTTGGGGGGTAACCTTATGTGGGAGCTATGCCTAAACGTGGACCGATTCTATCGATGTATCCCAATTTGTTTAGAGGCTAGAGTGATTACAACAGACAGACGACCGGACAGACAGACGGACATGGCTATATCGTCAAAGAATTTTACGCTGATCAATATATATATACTTTATAGGGTCGGAAATGATTATTTCGATGAGTTACAAAAAGGAAAACAAAATTTATGGAGGAGGGTATAAAAAGACTCCTTGCCTTCTATCGTTTTCTGCAAGGAGTCCCATACGTGAGGTGAAAAGGTTCTTTATGTTGAGTCCCTCATCGACTAGTTTAATAAAATTCGTTGAGTATCAAACTCTCAGACTGTAAAATACACTTCACCTCCAGTCTATGAACGATTTCCTTCATTCAATTAGTCTATAAAGGCTTTCTCAGCTCAAAAGTAGACTTCCACCTGTTCAATTATTATATCTCCCTCTTACTCCTTTAAAAATATCCATTTCAATTCATTCAGCTCGATTCCCTTCATTTCATCTATAAAGGCATTCTCATCTTTTCTATAAAGATTCCTTACAGATAGTCTATGAATACTCCATTACTGTCGTATATGATTCCTTACAAATACTCTATATAGATCACTTCCACTTGTCCAGTCTCTGGACTTCGTCTACAAAGCCTCCTATCAGCTCATCTATAAATTCTCCCTTCAGCTTGTCTATAAATAGTCCCTTCAACTCCTCTATGAAAGTCTCCCTACATCAGCTCCTCTATGAAAATCTTCCTACTTCAGCTTCTTCCCCTCTCCCCCTTCTTAAAGTTGTTTTAGAAGACTCCCAGTTTTAGCTCATCTATCAAAGACTCCCTTCGTCTTTATAAGACGTCCTGGTGTATCGCAGAGTCCCTGCTTCAGCTCGTCTATTAAAGACTCCATAACCATACAAATTTCTTTATTATGTCTCTTTTCATCCATATATTGAATTCTATGTTAACCTTTGACCCTTCCGGCGTATCTGGCAATCAAATATAAACAGCATATATTCTATATTTATTCCGCTTAATTAACAATATTTTGTATACGCAACCAGAAAAATATGTTTGTTGCGTATTCGATGTGGTTACAACATATAAATATGTCTCCGCCTGATTTAATTAAATATTTTGTTTTGTTCCCAAAAATACAAATGTTGAAAATATATGTTATTTTTAATTAAAAACAAAACAAAATACAAAAACACATTCACAGTGTAATTTGATTTTGGCTTCTGCATGGTGTCACCCATGTTTTTCGTGTAAATACAGCCAGCCAGAAGTAAATAATATTTATGGGAAAAAATTATTTTAATAATTTTTTTTTTCGTGGAACCATGTGTTCTCTTAATAAAAATCCAATCAGCATTTTTCTTGGTAGTTATTTAGAAAAATTGTAATTGGTTTTGTTTTTGTTATTGAATTGGAGGCCATTTGTACCAGACGGCGTATACATTGTGCCGTTACGAATACGCATATTGGGAATACAGCAAACAAGTTTAATGTAGTGATGAAATTGGCCCAAGGGTCTATTGGAGACCTAATTTTATAAATGAATGGTCACAAACAGTAGCAAATGAACAGGTAAATTGGCTAAACTTGTTCAGGCCGTTAATGAGTTATTTTTGTGAGGGACAAACGTGAATAGGAAACATGATTATACATATAATAATATGGGGTCCTAATTATACATTTCGCTTGAAACCATTCTCCATGTATTCAATTCATTAGAAAACTTTTTGCCTTTAATAATTTTTCAGAATGTAAAGGAGTGAAACGGAATTTCTTTAATACGAATAAATCTGAGAGTATTAAAAGTATTAACGCATTGTTGCCCACCCTTCATCATCGTCATCATCATCTGTTATGCATACGCAAAATTATTTCAATAAACTGCTTAAGAGATGAAATAAAACCACAAGGAAAACAACAAAAAAGAACAAGAAGCAAACTTCTGGGATTACTCCGAGAAAAAGAAGGGCATTAAATGCTTAACATTCAATCAAATGTGGCGCGTGTATTTTTGCCACAAAGTGAAAGCGAAAAAAACATGCTGCTTGACTTTTATATATTAAATTTTACATTGTAAATTTCTGATATTTCTTCTTCCGTACTTTGAATAAGGAAGTAAGCCATTTTGAGAGAACAAGTTATTATATAGCACGTTTATCTAAATGTCGTTCCATTGTAACTAGTTTTCCGTTAACTTCTTCGATACGATAATGAAATTCGACAAGTTATTTCCTTTTCTATTTTCAATTTTGTTTTTTTTTTTGCTTCTGTTTCCTTTATTCAGAGTTCTAGTTTCTCTTTTCGATTTTTTTTGGCAAAACGAATTTGTTACATCCTCTTTTTGTAGAAACTTTCTAATCAATAGAAAGTCAAAGATGTGAAATATAAACGTAGATGTAATGAATACTAAATGGAGATAACTAGGTTTACATTATAAGGGCGAAAGTAAAATTACATTTTGATAACAAAGTCAAGAGGTCATCATCTGTTTTTGGAAATTATTGAAATGTGCACGTGCAAAACATAGGCTTGAACAAAATTGCTCCATGAACAAAATTTGACTAGAAACTATTTTAATACTCACTTTAAATTATTTGTTCCATACGGCGTATACGTTGTTTCGTTACTAATACGCACATTTGCAAAACAAAATATTTAATGGAGTGGTGTAATTAGTCCAAGAAGATGTTGTCAATGACCATCTGAGGCGTGAATTTTTTAAAGAATATTTTTTCAATGATTTTTTACAAAATATTTTTTCAATGACCAACTGAATGGCCGATTTTTTAAAGTATCTTTTTTGAATGTTTAACTAAGGCGTCCATTTTTATACCCTTCACCACACTGTGGTACAGGGTATTATGTCTTTGTGCATATGTTTGAAACAGGCAAAAATAATCGAGATAGACCCATGGTTCCTTTTGTGAATATGCATAGAATCACTTTCTAAGTCGATTTATGTATGTCCGTCCGTCCATTTGTCCGAATTGGATGAAATTTGACACAGCTCATTTGTTTGGCCCAAGGACGAACCATATTGAAATTGGGAAAACGATTGGGAAGATTTAGATATAGCTCCCATATATATTTTCGTCCGATTCAAGGTAAATGGTGCACCAAAGTTCCTATATATCTTTCGATTTGCACGAAATTTTGCACAACGTACTAAATAAGGTCTAGAATGATGTGTGAAAAGTTTTGAGAAAATCGGTTCAGATTTAGATATAGCCCCCATATATAGCTTCGCCCGATTTTAATAAAATAGTCCACTAAATTCGTTGGAAATCTTTGACTTGCACGAAAATTGGCACAGCGTAATGAATAAGGTCTAGAATGATGTGTGCAAAGTTTCGCGAAAATCGGTTCAGATTTAGATATAGCTCCCATATACAGCTTCGCCCGATTTTAGGTAAATAATCCACTAAAGTCCTTGGAAATCTTTTGACTTGCACGAAATTTGGCACAGCGTAATGAATAAGGTCTAGAATGATGTTTGCCAAGTTTCGCGAAAATCGGTTCAGATTTAGATATAGCTCCCATAGATATCTTCGTCCGTTTTAAGGTTAATTGTGTACCAAAGTCCCTATATATCTTTCGATTTGCATGAAATTTGGCACAGCGTACTAAATTAAGTATAGAATGATGTGCGCAAAATTTCGTGAAAATCGGTTCAGATTTAGATATAGCTTCCATATATAGCTTCGCCCGATTTTAAGTAAATAGTCCACTAAATACCCTGGAAATCTTTTGCTGTGTACGAAATTTGGCACAGAGTTATGAATAAGATCGAGAATGATGTCTGCCAAGTTTCGTGAAAATCGGTTCAGATTTAGATATAGCTACTGGTTTTTCAATGCCAAACTGAGGCCTGGATTGTTTGAAGAATATTTTTTCAATGACCGGCTGAGCCGTGGATTTTTTAAAGAACATTTTTTCAAGGACGCTCATTAGGGACCCTTAGTATGACATGGATTTTTAAAGAATATTTTTTTAGGGACCTTCAGGAGGGCGTGGATTTTTAAAGAATATTTTTCCAACGAATATTTTTAAAGAAGATTTTTTCAATGACCATCTCAGGCGTGGATTTTTTAAAGAATATTTTTCTAAGGACCATCAGTAAGGCGTGGATTTTTAAGGGATTTTATTTAAGGACATACTTTTTAAATATATCAAACTGTGTCAACATATTAACCCCTTTTTTAATATTTCTCCCTTTTGTTTTTTTTTTATTTCTCATTTCAGTTGTCGTATACGTGATTTGTTGCGGCATAATGGACAATTGCCCGATGGCATTGATACATTGCGGCTGCCAAGACGTTTACAGCGTTACATCGATCTAATGGAAGAAATCGAAGGACCAGATAAGGATAAAAACAATGACGATACGGATGATTTTCCCACCACCAGTAAGGCTGGCCAAAATAGAAACCCCGTTAAAAAGGCAACAGCCAGTGCCAAAGTACTTAAACCAATCGAAGAAGAAGACAGACCGACAACAACAACAGAAACAGTGGCAGAAGCAACAACATCTTTGGCAGCTAAAACCACAGAAGTAGAGGCAGAAGAAAAAGGAGAAGTAACGGATGCCGTTACCACAACTGAAGATAGCAATGCAGCAAACACTTCAACGGAATTATCAACTACGACCACCGATGATACCATTAGCACTACAACTACATTAGTGGAACAAGCTGAGCAAGTAGTAACCGAACTAGACCAACAACTACAAACCATTAGTATTACTGAAGTTGAAGAATCAACAACCATCGACGAATTACCACCAACCTCCTCAACGACTGATGATGAACAGGAGGAGGAGAATGCGGAGGCGAAGGACAATAATGCCACTCCAGTGATTATTATCGATAAACCTTTTTTATTTTGATTTTCTTGGCATTTTTTCCATTGTTTTTTTTTCAACCGTTTTGTTTGTTTGTTATTTTCATTCTTCGTTTGCCAAAAAACCACGAAGTTCGACTTTTTCTTGTTTAACGACATTTCTTAACAAGATTTCGAAAGAAAGAGCAAAAGTTCAATGTAATACCATCATTCACTTGTCGCATTGTCTCCAAATGTTCTTTTTTGTTTTCGCGATGAGGGAGACAACAAAACTTTTTCTACCGCCTTTGCCAAAACGAAGAAAACAACATCAACAGAAGTTTTTTTTACAAAAATTGGACTGAACTTACCTGTAGGTTTCTTCACTAACATTAATGCGACCCGGTACTCCTGTGGTTTCTGTGCGACTGGTAAGATTAACGGTGTTGCCGAATAAGCAATAACGCGGTACACGATTGCCAATGACTCCGGTCACCACCTCGCCCGAATGAATGCCAATTGTGATTTGCTAAAAAAACACAAGGAAGAGAAAATTTGAAAGTGAAAATACGAAACCAAATACTAACTAGTCATACACATAAATAAATAAAAAAAAAGTTCATCATAAAATATAGTATCCATACTTAAATCAATAAGTAGAATTTTGAAATGGAATTTATTTAAATAAATATTTGGTGTCAATAAAATAATATATACTTTGAAAAATCTGGTGCATTTTATTTTGAAACAACCACAGATATATGGATTTATTAAAGAATTCAATTTTCAGAAACTAAAGAATATTTTTTCAAGGACTAAATGAGGCATGGATTTTTAAAAGAATATTTTTAACGAATATTTTTTCAAGGATCATATAAAGAGTGGGTTTTTTTTGAAGAATATTTTATCAATGACCATATAAGGTTTGCTTTTTTTTAAAGAATATTTTTTTAAATGATCATAAAAAGTGTGGATTTTATAAAGAATATTTTTTCAAGGTCTATATAAGGCGTAGATCAATTAAATAATATTTTATAAGGCCTATCTAAGGCATGAATAGAATATTTTTTCAAGGTCTATAAAGGGCGTGGCATTTTTTAAATAATATTTTTCAAGGACTATATGAAGCGTGAAGGTCTATATAAGGAGTGAATTTTAAAGAATATTTTTTCAAGGCCTAACATAAGACGTGGATTTTTTAAAGAATATTTTTTCAAGGCTTAACGAATATATTTTCAAGGCGTGGATTTTTTAAAGAATATTTTTTCAAGGCCTAACACAAGGCGTGGATTTTTTAAAGAATATTTTTTCAAGGCCTAACATAAGGCGTGGATTTTTTAAAGAATATTTTTTCAAGGCCTAACATAAGGAGAGGATTTTTTAAAGAATATTTTTTTCAAGGCCTAACATAAGGCGTGGATTTTTTAAAGAATATTTTTTCAAGGCCTAACATAAGGCGTGGATTTTTTAAAGAATATTTTTTCAAGGCCTAACATAAGGCGTGGATTTTTTAAAGAATATTTTTTCAAGGCCTAACATAAGGCGTGGATTTTTTAAATAATATATTTTCAAGGATGGTATGAGCCATGAGATTTTTATACCCTACACAACTATGTTATTAAGGTATTAATGCTTTGTGCAGGCCCAAGAGTTCGTAACGCAGCGAAATATTGGTCCTAGACCCACTTTTATGTATACCGATCGTCATATCTCGACTAGCTGAGTGCGTCGGTCCTTCCTTCTGTCCATTATAATTTGTAAATACGATACATGCCATAGTTATGGATCGTATGAGTCGTAGGATTTTTATACCCTACACAACTATGTTGTCAGGGTATATTATAGCTTTGTGCAGTCCCAAGAGTTTGTAACGCCGCGAAGTATTGGTCCTAGACCCACTTTAAGTATACCGATCATCATATCTCGACTAGCTGAGTCGATCTAGACATGAGTGTCCGTCCGTCCATCTGTCCATTATAATTTGTAAACACGATACAGGACACAGTTATGGACCAATCGTCACGAAATTTTGGATGTAGGATGGCCAATGAAGACCCCTATTGTTTTTGGTAAAGATGGTTAATATTTAGGGAATGATACGGACCAAATATTTAATTTGTGTCTGAATTTCTGGTCGCTCCAGAGGCCGCAATTATGGCCCGAACATCGCGAAATTTTACATGGAAAAGGGGATCGGGACAAACAATAAGCCTCTTTTGATAAAGCTCGGTCGATATTTAGCGGGTCAAATGGACCCTGACTTTTGTCTGAAAAATTACAAAATTAGTATTCAATACCTGAAGGACATAGACCCGAGATGTTGACAGTATATCCAAGAGGAGAGGTTGACTTTTAAATTGATACCAATTATATTGTTGTATGTACTCGGATGTGGGAGACACAATTAAATATTTACATATGCTTACGTATTCAGATATTATTTAGTAACCCATTACCACACTAGAGGGCGGAAATATAGCAATGATCGCTTTGAAATTTTCCATGAGGATCCAGGTATGGTCAAGGACAACGCCTATAATTTTCGATGATGATCAGATAATAATTTTGGAAGAAGGGGATAGAAAACTTTTTTTTTGTTTTTTTAGAGTCGATCTATAGGCTACAATTATAAGCCGAACATCACAACACATTCCATGGTGAGGGGAATATGGACAAGTAATTAAAGGGACTGAATATTAGTAACATTCGGAAAATATGTCAGTATAAGGAAGAGTTGCTGTTGACCTCTAATCGAGCAAAAGGTGCAAATATCAGAAATATTGCCTAGTCTCGAATAAAAATGCGCAGAAAGTTAGAGTTCCGTGGTCGGCCCGTCCGACTATACTGCTCCGCTCACTGGTTTAAACAATATTTTTTTCAAGGATCATATGAGTCATAGGAATTTTTAAACAATATTTTTTCAAGGATCATATGAGTCTTAGGAGTTTTAAAACAATATTTTTTAAGGATCATATCAGTCATAGGATTTCCTAAACAACATTTTTTTAAGAAGCATAAGGAAGCATAATATTTTTCATAGATTAACTAAGCTATAGGCGTAGATTTTTTAAATAATATTATTCAAGGAATAACTGAGCTATATGCATAGTTTTTTTATATAATATGTTTCAAAGATTAACTGAGCAATTTGCACGTTTTTTAATAATATTTTTAAGGATACATGAAGTCATATATTTTTAAACCACAAGTAGTACTTCCAACACTTCTGCTCGAACTGAAAACATTTTTTTTTAAACTGTCAGCAAAAATGGTCAATAACTCTTTTCTTCTATTCTACTTGATTCTTTTTTTTGGATTTTATTACTTTCCGGTTCAATATGTTACATCTTTTGTGAAAAGTAAGTGAAAATGTATTTTAGCTGCTCGTTTTGGTTACAATATCCCGCAAACCATTCCAATAAAACTGCAAAGTAGTCATCAGATACTACCATAAATTACTAACATATGTATTGGAGAGTATCTGTGTGCGTTAACCAATGGTCAAACATACAACGCCGACAAACTTTATTTCATCAGTTTAACATTAAATGGAAGATACAAATTACCCACAAGTAATGATAATGTTTCCACAAACAAGTTGTAGGTTTTGTTTAATAGTAGTACCGAAGGAGTGTTGGGGGAATGGGCAAGAACTTTGAACCACAAATACTAATTAATGGTCAAAAGTTTTGCAAATGAAAGTAAACACAAGAAAATGAATGTATATTTGGACCACCACAAACTTGAAGCGCAATGTAATTGCTATATAATGATCGTCATGTATGTGTGTGCATGAGTGTATTTGTTGCAGTTAGTGCAAAGGGCCCTTCCTCTTACTCGACTTCGCACTGCACCATGACATCTAAATTTCATCACCAAAAACATTTTTCGGGGTAATTGCACATCTTCAAGGCATGTTGTTGCACGAAGGTCCAATGTTTTGCCATCTTGACCATGTTCACAATGTCATTACATTCCCACCGCAACAACAGCACGAACAACACCAACTCATCGACGACAAAATCTTGCGATAATTGCAATCACGTACATCCATCTAATCTATGTCTAATGTGGCGTAAAAGTGTTAAACGATATTTTCAAAAGTGTAACGATGAAAGTTTCCCCAAAAACGAATCCCCGAGACGACACAATTTTGGAGACCCTACTCTCTTCCTGGTAATTTTGAGAAGGAGTGTATGTAAGTGTGTGCGTTCTATTCACATCCCTGATGACATTCAGTGTTGCTTCCTTCCTTTTTGTATTTTGTAATGACCTGGAATGAGGTCAATGGTTCTTATGGTGCTCATAACAATCCTCCCGACACAGTGTGGGTGGCTGAGACCTTAACGAGTGAGAGTGTGTTTGTGCGAAACACACACACACACACAAACATTGAAGATAAACATTTAAATAGAAGAAATAGTATGGGGCTTTGCGTGATAGGGATTTGAGAATGTGGGATCCTTTTAAATACGAGGTGGAGAGAGTTTTTATAGACGAGTTAAAGGGAGTCTTTCATAGACGAGCTGAAGAGAGTATTTTTAGATGAAAAGCAGGGAGTCTTTCACAGACGAGCTGAAGGAGAAAGGAGTATTTCAGTGACGAGCTGAAGAGAGTTTTTCATAGACGAGCTGAAGGGAGTCTTTCATAGACGAGCTGAAGGGAGTCTTTCATAGACGAGCTGAAGGGAGTCTTTCATAGACGAGCTGAAGGGAGTCTTTCATAGACGGGCTGTAGGGAGTCTTTCATAGACGAGCTGAAGCAGGAAGTCTTTCATAGACGAGCTGAAGCAGGGAGTCTTTCATAGACGAGCTGAAGCAGTAAGTCTTTCATAGACGAGCTGAAGGCAGTCCTTCATAGACGAGCTGAAGGGAGTCTTTCATAGACGAGCTGAAGGGAGTCTTTCATAGACGAGCTGAAGGGAGTCTTTCATAGACGAGCTGAAGGAAGTCTTTCATAGACGACCTGAAGGGAGTCTTTTATAGACGAGCTGAAGGGAGTCTTTTATAGACGAGCTGAAGGGAGTCTTTCATAGACGAGCTGAAGGGAGTCTTTCATAGACGAGCTGAAGGGAGTCTTTCATAGACGAGCTGAAGGGAGTCTTTCATAGACGAGCTGAAGGGAGTCTTTCATAGACGAGCTGAAGGGAGTCTTTCATAGACGAGCTGAAGGGAGTCTTTCATAGACGAGCTGAAGGGAGTCTTTCATAGACGAGCTGAAGGGAGTCTTTCATAGAAGAGCTAAAGGGAGTCTTTCATAGACGAGCTGAAGGGAGTCTTTTATAGACGAGCTGAAGGGAGTCTTTTATAGACGAGCTGAAGGGAGTCTTTCACAGACGAGCTGTAGGGAGTCTTTCATAAACGAGCTGTAGGGAGTCTTTCATAGACGAGCTGTAGGGAGTCGGCTTGCTAAAGGTCGGCTTTATGGGCGAGCGAAAGGTCGGCTTTATGGGCGAGCGAAAGGTCGGCTCTATAGGCGAGTTCAAGGTCAGCTATATATACGAGTTCAAATTGATCTCTGCAGGGGAGT